TCTTAGACTGGTCTTTCAAGATAGTCATGTCATTTTTTACTTTAAGACTGGTCATAACTTTAAGTCAGTTACCTAAAAACGTAGATTGGGCTAATTTGGTTACCACTGGACTAACTGCTCCCAACGCCATCAGCCAGTGATTACGTGCGGTCGAGCGACGGGCTCGGAATGGAGCGGCCACGGCGCGGTAGCGCTCCAGACTCATGGCCACCAGCACAAACACGCTGGCATGCATGGTGAGCAGATCCAGACTCAACAGCAGCCTGCAGCCCATTTCCCCAAAGAACCAGTCGTGGGCGAAGTAGGTGCAGACTACGAACGGGATGGTGCCCAGATAGAGCAGATCCGCCGCCGCCAGGTTGAGGATGAAGACGTACATAGAGCCGGTGCGCCGTAACGTGGCCGATCGCATGATGGCGAGGGTGTACAGGTTTCCCGTCACACCCAAAATGCACATGGTGACGAGGGTGGCACCCAGAAGCGGAGTGACCCAAACTACTCCGGCACTTCCGGCTGCGGTGCTGCCGTTGGGCGAGTTACTCATCGTATAAAGATCCAGGAGAAATATCTCAATTCAAATGTTTCCTATAAAATGTTCCACTTATTTATTGGCACCGGTAGCATTCATGGAACGTCTCCATTGCACCAAAGGTTCTTTAGATTATTAAAAGGCCCTTCATATGAAGAAAATTACGAACTGTTCATTGAAAAGTTCCCAAAGCGGTTCTTCTTTGGCATCGCTGTGAAAACCACCTTTTGGAACCTTTAGTTCTAAGAATGCTTGTGCGGCAGAAAACAGACCGAGAAGCTTCTTCAAACATCACAGCACCAAACGAACACTGAGCAACAGACTGACAAGCCCTTCTGTAACAAGTCCTACACATACCCATGATCCAGCTGATCCAAAATAAACCTCCGTTCATGCCCATACAGACGTTCCTCTGATGTTCTCCGCTGTGTCCAGCTCTTTGTGTTCGGCTGCTCTATGCGTCTTCGTTTCTGTTGTGTCTGCAGGTTTCTCTAGCATTCGTCTCTTCTCTCTCTTTCTCTCAGGTGGGTGTGATCTGACTTTCAGTGTTTGAGCATCTCTGAACACCCTGGTGCCGTTTCACACGCCCCGATCATGAGCAGCACTCAATAATCTTCCATTCACACTCACATACAAACACACAACACAAGCACTAATATCCTCCAGCTCACGCGAACAATCAAAATCGGACCTCAAACACACAAAGATAATCAGATCAGTATTTTATTAAAAAGCTGTACTAAACCCTGAGGGATCGTAACACTACAGTAAAAGACAATTCTGGCATAATTTAGTCGCCCTCATGTTGCTTCAGAATCTTCTTCTCTTGCAGTGTCGCTCTTAAATCTAATTTGTGGCCATGTGTATTTAAATATTCTGAGTGAACGGTCATGTGACACACTAGAACCAATGAGATTGGTTGAGACATATTTCAGTCTGTTCGTCACACAAACCATCATATGACAGAAAACCTCAAATATACAGAGTCTATATAATATATGTACTGTCCCTTTAATATGTGAATAACCAGAGGTTCAGAAGAGTTGACTTTCACTTAAAAGTGAGTTGAAAATTGTTTAATAAATGTTCATGTGAAGGGTCAGATGTGAAATAACTCAATATAACCACTAGATGGAGACTTGAATGCTTAAAAATAAGATTTAAAAAGTAAGATTTGGTCGCAAACAGTTCATCGAAAACGCAGACATGAAAATTTTATGTTAGGGGACAAAATACTCAGAGTTTCATGATCTAATGGTACAGAATCATAGTACAGAATACATACAAATACTTAGTGTAAAACAACTTAAAAACACAAACATCCGAGGCACGTGCTGTGAGATCTGTGGTGGGTCAGCTGCAGAGGTCACAGGTGAAAGGTCAGAGGTCACGGCAAGAGTTCAGTGGTCCATCAGTGCTGTTGTTTGAAGTAGGCCTCCACTGAAAAACACAGCAGCACTCATGTTGTGATTGTGTGTGTGTGTGTGTGTGCGTGCGTGCGTGTGTGTGTGTGTGTGTGTGTGTGTGTGTGTGTGTGTCAGGTTTTGAGTGTGGTTAATCAGGAAGGTCAAATCTTCAAAGTGTGTGGGTGGGTGTGTGTGTCTGTGCGCACGCGTGTGTGTGTGTGTGTGTGCGTGCGTGTGTGGGTGAGCGCGCATGTGTGTGTGTGTGTGTGTCTGTGTGCACGTGTGTGTGTGGGTGTGTGCGTGCCTGCGTGGGTGTGTGTGTGAGTGTGTGTGTGTGAGTTTGTGCGCAAGCGCGCGCGTGTGTGTGTGTGTGAGTTTGTGCACGTGCGCGAGTGTGTGTGTGAGTTGTGTGCGCGTGTGTGTGTGTGCGTGTGTGAGTGTGTGCGTGTGCGTGTGCGCGTGTGTGTCTGTGAGAGAGAGTGTGTGTGTGAGTTTGTGCGCAAGCGCGCGCGTGTGTGTGAGTTTGTGCACGTGCGCGAGTGTGTTTGTGAGTTTGTGCACGTGC